GTTCTTAGTATGAAAGGTGGCTAGCTCAAGAATTCGGTCATGTTGAGTAATAGTAGAACGAAGGAGGATGAGAGAGAAAAGAAGATTCACATCATCGTCCTCATACTCGTCGTCTCTGCATCTTCTCTTCTCTTCTCCTCCTCCTCCTCCTCCTCCTCCTCCTCCTCCTCCTCCTCCTCCTCCTCCTCCTCCTCCTCCTCCTCTTCGTAGTTCGATGCTGACGGTGGATCTCTCAGCTGGCTGATATCTGGGCTGCTGGAGTCTCACTGTACTTCTTCGTCCATGGGAGGTGATGAGAGAAGCTCTGTTGGACTCCTCCTCGTCCTTCCTCCGTCCTCCCTATCTCTCCCTCCTCCTCCTTCTCCCTGTCCTCACCCTCACCCTCCTCGTGCGACCAGCACTCTTACTCTCCCTTCCCTCTGCCTCTGCTCCTCCTCCTCCTCCTCCTCCTTGCACTGATTCATGGGACCCTGGCAGCTGTCCTTTCGTCAACTCTAACGTGATGCGGCTCTATGAGATGATCCAGGAAGATCCTGTGACCTTCAAAGAAGGGGTGAGAGGGAAGGGGAGTGGGAGGAAGAGGAGAGGGAGAGGGACGAGGAGGCTGAGAGGGAGGACGAGGACGAGGACGAGAACGAGGAGGAAGAGAGGGAGGAGGAGAAGGACAAGGACGAGGACGAGGACGAGGGGAGGGAGGAGGAGGAGGGAGAAGGAAGGAGAGGAAGGAGGAGGAGGAGGAGGAGGAAGAGAGGGAGGAGGAGAAGGACGAGGACGAGGACGAGGACGAGGAGGGGAGGACGAGGACGAGGAGGATCAGATGAAGTATGGTGATCAAATTGACGTGTCCTCTTGCAGCTTCCTCCACCTCTGCTGGACCTACTGAAACAAATCCTAAATAAGGTGAAGAGGAGGAGGAGGAGGAGGATGCTGAAGCGATCGGAGAGGAGGACGGCAGCTGTTTCTTCTGACTGCCACTAGAACCCGTCGGAGCGTCTCAAGATTGCCGCCATAAAGGAGCACGAGTGGTTCAAGGTAGCCCTTCCCTCTTCTTTCCTCGCATCTTATCCTCCCCCAGCCCATCAGCGAATCTCCCAACCTCGGAACTCCTGTAGCCGGTTTGTCTTCTCCCACCTTCATAGTCACACTCCTCATCTCATCCTCCTCCGCTGTCCCCGCCCCTCCCCTACTCTGCCGTTCCCCACCCCCCCCCCCTTCTCCTACTCCTCCTCCGCCCTCCTCCATCCCCTGCTCTCGCATCACCCCTACCCGCCCTTGCATTCCCACTTCTCCCCCAACTTCTCCTCTGCTCCTTCCCTCTCGCCTCTTTTTCTCCCAACAACCTCTGTACATCACAGCTTCCTTCCCCTCTCACTCCTTCGATTCTCTCCCGCTCCCTATCCGCAGCTTTCCTCTCCTACTCACATCGTCTGCAGTGTCCGAAGCAGAGATCGCAAACGCGTTTTCCATGTCGGAGCGGGTAGAGGAGGTGGGGGCAGGACGCGGATGACGGAGCTGCAGGTGGTTCTGCTCGTCAAGATCCGCGAGCGCATGCTTGGAAGACTCCGCAACGTCCGCAACACGATCGCAGAGCGGAAGGTAACAGTCAGGGAGAGAGAGGAGGAGGAGAGATGGTTGAGAGAGGGTGAGGAGCGAGATGGAGGGGAGGGCGAAGGAGGGAGCAAGTGACGAGACGAGCAAGCAGGGGAATGGAGTGGATGGGAAGGTCGAGGCGGAGGCTCCTCCGGTGTCGATAAAGGAGGGAGAGCAGCAGGCGGTGGAGATTCCTGAAGGTTTGAGACGCGTGCGGGAGGAGGTGGTGGTGGTGGTGACGGGGGGCAGGCATGGTGGAGCAAGTCGACTCGGATGACGAAGGGAGCAAGGGAGAGGTAAGGACGCGGTAGCATGCGACCGCAGTATCTTACTTTCACCCCTTGCAGCCCACCACCAGCAGTCGGAGCGAGTCGCGATGCAGGTGTTGATCGTTGATGACCCGAGCATGCGGTAGCTGGTCTGACGTGCGAGCAGGATCATGTAAATCAGCATCATCATCATTGCCATCGCGCTCCTCCTCCTCCTCCTCCTCCTCCTCTTCCTTCCTGTCGCCATTTTTCAAGTCTTGTGCATCGCACGCATTTCGTCGGCGCCTCTTCTTCAGTCAGTTTTCTTTGTAATCAACTTAACCCCTCAATGTCTGCTTTCTCTCTCTCTTACTCTCCTTCTCTCTCTCCTCTCTCTCTCCTCTCCTCTCCTCTCCTCTCTTACTCTCCTTCTCCCTCTCCTCTCCTCTCTTACTCTCCTTCTCTCGCCCCCTGCTTGCCTGCCTGCCTGACCGCTGCCGCGTTGTCCCGCATGTAGTTGGTAGGAGGGAGGCGACCCTTGTACACGTCGGGGTCAAGCTCGGGCGAGATCCTCGTCTTGAACCCGCTGGCCTTGGGCTTGGGAGGACGGTACTTGGGGGGCTCACCCACCACCCGGTATGTCCACTGCATCTCGTCCGTCTCGATGATGAGGAGGGCGCGGTAGGAGCGGCCGTAGGTCTTGGGGGAGAAGGAGAGGAGGAAGGTCGTGCCTTCAGAGCCGTAGGGGCTCAGCATGCCCTGGGAGGGAGAGACTTGGAACTCAGGGGAGGAGTCGAGGGAGAAGAAGGCGTGGAAGGAGGCGGGCTCGTCGAACTGGTTCGTCATCTTGAAGGACACGGTGTTGACTCGGTTGAGTGAGCCCTCCATCATGATCTCATCGTCCACCTCCGCCTGCTCCGCCACGACGTCAAGGTCGTAGAGCCAACGTCCTCCCGAGGGCCGAGTCACTCGCAGCTGCACCTTAGCTTGGATGGGCTTCAGGGGCTCGAACACCATGGTGAAGTGACACTTGCTGGGGTCGGCGACGGTCTGGTCGCGAGTGAAGCGGAGGGCCTTGCGGAGGAGGGACTGGTGCTCGTCAGGCAGCAGCAGCTCGAAGCTGACGTCCTCCGACGAGACTGCCTCCCCTGCTCCCTCCAGCTCCACCACGATCTCCTTCACCAGCCGCTCCCTTGACCTGCACGCGAACCTCCCGAGGCTGGTGGTCTCCGGAGATTCGGCAGTGCCATGGATGGGGAAATCGAAGCTGAGGTCGAGGTCCTGGCAAGAAAGGCGGAGGACGCAGCGATGCTCCGTCATCTTCTTGGGGAAGAAGGTGAAGGGTATGTCGATAGACTTCAGCGACGGGACATGCAGGTTGGTCGACCTCGAGCCGACGAGCGAGAAGCATCCTCCCTCCTCCTCCTCCTCCTCGCCCCTCAACGACACATTGACCACCAGGTCTCTCTTCAGCGGGTTCTTGAACGTAACCACGTTGCTGCTCATCTCTCCCACCGCTGCGCTCACCTCCACCGCTGCAAACATCTCCGGCGGCCCTCCCGTCCCCGACACCGCAAACTCCCACTTGCCAGCCTGAGGATGCGAGAAGGTGATCCGACCCCTCTCCTCCTCGCCGAGAGCCGCGGGCGTGTAGGCGATGAGGAAGGAGGAGGAGGAGAAGGCTGGGATCAGGTACGCGCGCTCCTCCTCCCTGTCGAGGTTGGTGACGGTGAAGTTGACGGGGTTGGAGTTGTCGACGAGGAGCATGACGTCATCAGGCAAAGGGTTCTCGATCGAGACTTGGGTGTCGATGGACCTTCCGAGGCTGCAGGAGAAGGAAGGGACGTCCATGACCTCGGGCTCGCCAGCCATCAGCTTGATCTCGTACCAGAACTCTCCCATCTCGTCGTTGATGAACGTCAGGCTTCCCTGTCTCCCCCCGGCGATCAGCGGCGAGTAGATTAGCTCGTATGTGGTCGTGCCCGAGGGCGCGAGCGTGACGCTGGGCTGACCGAGGAGCCCCTCGCCGTTGAGGAGGACGTCGAAGGTGACCTCCTCGGGCGTCGGGTTGACGATGGGGATGTCAGCAGCGACGGCCGTGCGAGCTCTCGTCCTCAGCTCGAGCGTCTGCTCGGGAGGAGGGTTGTTGGCGTTGACCTCTAGGGTGAACCAGACGTACTCGTTGTTGGGGGCGGTGAAGGTGATGCTGCCCTTGAACGTCCCTCCTCGCGGCATGAGGACGAACAGCTCGTAGCTCTTGACGCTCTTGCTGGGCACCAGGAACTGACTGGCCCCGCTAACTCCCATCAGGTCGCACTCAACCTTGTAGTTGCAGTTCTTCCCCTCCAGCAGGTTCCTCACCGGGATCGACAGCGTCCTCCTCCATCTCGCCTTGCAGTCCACCACCAGGTGGTCCTCAGCTACCGGGTCCTCCCCCACCCCCGTCAGCTGGTACTTGTACGAGTCGTCAATGGTATGGTTGTGCAGCACCAGCTCTCCCTCAACAGAGCAGATCCATCGCGGCGAGAACGTGAGCGCAAACGTCGCTCGTCCTGGCTCCTTGCTGGAAGCGGCAGCAGGGACCGTCAGCTCCCTGGAGCCAGAGAAGTAGGAGCCCGAGAGCTTCGCCTCGACGCTCCAGGGCGTCTCCGTGTAGTTGATGATCGGGATCTCCTGCGTGATCGACTGGCGGGCAGGGCAGCTGAAAGTCAGCTCGACAAGGTTGCTCGGAACGCTCACCACCGCCTCCACCTCGATCACCCGCACGTCCAGAGCTGATCGCAGGATCACCTTCCCCTCATACCTCCCGGGGCCCTGCGGCCGCAGCTCTAGAGCAAGCTTGTTCCCGTCCCCCGCCCCCTTCCCGTCCTTGGCTGCCGCCGTCACCCGGGCTGACCCGGAGCCGACGAGGGAGAGCTGGCTGGGGCCCGAGAAGAAGCTGGACAGATACTCGACCTTGTAGTCCACCTTGACCTGGTCGCTGAGCACCTTGTACCACTCCTTACCCCCTGCTGGCCCAGCATGTCCATGATCAGTGCCCTGCACTTGTCGACGCTCGCGTTCCTCGTGGTGAGGGAGATCTCCTTGAGGATTACGCTCTTCATAGGGTTCGTGAACTTGTACGACTCCGTCGTGCTCGGCAGCAGCGCGCGCACGCGGAGCTCGTAGCAGACCTCCCGCTCCTCCGCGTCCTTGACGAACACCAGGCACGACTGCGAGGAGAGGCGCATGGGGAGGAAGAGGACCTTGGCGTTGATGGATGAATTCCTCTTCACCTTGAGCTTGTCCTGCCCGTTCCTCAGCCAGAAGGTTCGCTCCGGCAGCAGAGCGGAGGACGTGACCATGTCGCCTCCCTTCCCTCGCCGCACCTTCTGCCCTCTGTTCTTGGAGCTCGACAGGTCTTCGTGCATGGAATCCTTGAAGTTGGACAGCGTCACCTGCACCTCAGTGTCGACGTCCGTGTCATTGAGCACGGGGATCTCGAACAGAACTTGCTCGTACAGCTTCGCCTCTCGCTCCATCACTTCACTTCTCTTGAACGACTTCACCACTGACCGCAACGTGAACACTAGCGTCGCCCCCGTCGTATTCCCCGCCATCTGCTCGCCGATGAAGTAGATTTGGCCCTCCGCGGTCTTCCTCGAGCTGTGGGTGATGCTGATGGGGAAGACCGTCTTCTTCCCCGGCAGCATCTTCACGCTCTTGGCGCACACGAACTCCGAGGAGCCGTCGACGTGAACGGAGTAGACGAGCTGCTTGTTGCTGGGGTTCTTGAGCTCGATCGAGCGCGTCACTGTCTCGTTGAGACATCCGTCGAACTCCACCAGGGCCTTGGGCACGAAGCCCGGGAGGTTCTCGAAGAGGTACATGCAGAAGAGGATGAGGTCGCGGGCCGGGGCCTCCACGAAGTGACTGGGCTCGAGGGAGAAGGGAAGCCCGATGTGACGGATGGCGCTGCTGACGTTGTGGATGTTGGAGAGCTGCTGGGCTCTGTCGTCAGCGCGCTTGAGGCCGGAGAGCATGGACTTGAGGGAGGGGACGTGGGAGGAGATCAGGTAGGCAATGACGCGCCCGTCATGCAGGTCGAGGTCGAAGTTGAGGAGGTTGGCCTTCTCAGTCGGGACCATGCGCTCGTTGTGATACGCCAGCCAGCTGAGAAGCAGCAGCTCCGAGTTGCTGTAAACGTTGCTGGTGAGCTGGGAGGAGAGCTTGATGGTCTTGGCGTCGACCATGGGCATGCTCCTGACGAGGCTGGGGGTTATGCGGTTGAAGCTGAAGAGCTTGATCACTTGATAGGTCAGCAACAGCCAGCTCCCTGTGTTGATCAGCTCGTAGTACCTGTCATAGTACTTGTGCTGCTCCTCCGAGTACGACTCCGAGCTCTTGTCCAGCACGAGCTTCTGGAAGAGGTCGTAGTGCAGCAGGTACTCGGGTCGGATGACGTCGATCAGAGCGCCGGAGGTCTTGAGGAAGGCGAGGAACTCCTCGTACCACATGCGCTCCTCCTCCGCCTCCTCCTTGCGGTTTGCGGGGGTTCTGCGAGCCTGCGAGGTCTTGTCTTTGGGGAGGATGCTCTTTCCCGTGAACGTCTCCACCAGCTGTACAAGCTGGCGGCCCTTGCTCTTGATCAGCTCCTCCGGAAACCTCTGCATGGGCTGCCGCAGCAGGGAGAGGTTGATCCACTTCACCAGCAGGTCCTTGGAGGAGGGCTCGGCCAGCACGGAGCACTCGCAGAGGAACTCGTTGTTGGGGATGAGGTCTGCCAGCCTCTGCCTCGACTTGACCTCCTCCTTCTCCTCCAGCTCGATCGTCCCTTCCTTGCTCATCACCGCCATCTTCGTTCCCGACACCTCAGCCGTCGGCCCCTTGCCGGACTTGGGGAGGATCTTGCAGTCGGCCCCGTGGAGGGTGATGAAGGGGAAGACGCTGAGGAAGCAAGCGTCGGTTCTCCCCGCGATGAGGATGCTGAACTCGTTGCCGTGGTCGTCGAAGAAGCAGACCTTGCTGCTGAACGAGAGGCTCTTGGGGTAGGTGAAGGACACTTGCACCGGTATCCTCGTCCGCATGACGCTGGTGATGGTGCCGAGGGGGAAGGAGAAGGAGAGGGGGATAACGGCTGTGTCAGCGGGAAGCTTGTACTTGATGTCCAGGTTGTCGTAGCCGTGGTTGATGATGAAGAACGTCACTTCGCTCGGGATGCCGCAGGGAGTCGTTGGCAGGAGCACCTCCCGCCGGTCGAACTCCAGCCGGGGGAAGGTGCCGGTGCCGTGAACGTGGACGGAGAAGTAGGGGGAGGGCTCGGAGTTGAGAAAGATGAGCAGCTCGCAGTCGTACTCGATGTTGGAGGTCGGCACGAAGTGAACTTTCAGCTCCAGTGACTTGCGATGGTCCAGATGCGCCTCGACCCGCTCCATCCTGAAGCTCCCGGCCTTGGCGTCCGGGCCGTCGAGGTAGGCGAGGATGGAGGAGGGGTGGTCGTCGCAGTGAGTGACCTGGAGGGTCATGACGTAGGATACGCCCTTCATGTTGGCGTTGACCACAACTCGCTTCGAGAACTCGAGCGAGGTGGTGGAGAGTAACAGCCGGGGCTTCTTGGCCTCGGCCAAGAGCACGCGCCTGAGGTTCTTGGTGGTGGAGGAGGAGATGTCCTGAAGCCCCAGGGGGAGCTCGATCGCGTGCTTGCTCAGCTTGGTGGGGGCGTACGTGATGGTCAGGGTCCCTTGATCCTTGGGGGGGATGCGGAAGTTGGTCAGCTCCCCAGGTCTCAGCTGCGAGATTTCTGCTTCCTCTTCTGCTTCCTCCTCGTCCCTCTTGGCCAGCACCGTGTCGTAGTCCCACACCTCGGGGAGGGTAACGGAGAACTCCGGATATCTTCTCAGGTCCAGGAAGAGTCTCGCCGTGATGGAGCTCAGGTTCTGCAGCTGAATCGACCTGACCGCGACGGCTCCGATGTAGACCGTCCCGAAGTCGATCTCGTCCTCCTTGATCTCGACGCGGGGGAGGATCACTTCCGCCTTGACCGTCACCCTCAGCGTCTTCGACCCTCGGATCTGAATGATGATGACGTCATCGATCTTGACGCTCCTGTCGCTCTTGACTGACACTGAGATCACCGAGTTGGTCCCGGGCGTCACCAGCCCCTTCTCCGGCGTCACCGTCAGCCCCGGCGCTCGCGCCCTCATCTCGTTGGTGTCGATGAAGAAGGCCGTACTCGACCCTCCCGTGCACGAGAGCGCGAACGACCTGGTGCAGACTTGCCCAGCTGACACGACCCCCATGTCGATGGACTTCTGCTTCAGCTGCGCGTGACTCTCCTCGACCTCGCCCGAGCAGAGGAGGGGGATGATCGCTCCTCCTGTCACCGAGATGCTCAGCGTCTGCTCGTGCTTGCACTCCTGCCCGGGACGGTAGGTCACCATGATCTCTTCTGTGCTCATGGGCTCGACAATGCCGTCGGAGGGGAAGGTCTTGAAGTGCTCCCCCTGCTCAATCTTGTACTGGGCCGCGTTGTTGGAGGGGTTGGTCATGTGGAAGGACTCAGTGATGACGGGCTCCATGCTGGTGGGGGGGAAGGAGAAGTTGATTCGCGTCTTGGAGACGTGCAGCATGACGGGAACAGCCTCTGCCTTCACCGCAACCTCGTACGCGTGATGCTCGTTGATGACGTAGCGGAACTTGGTGCTGATGTCGGCCTGGCTCTCAAGGTAGATGGTGATGTCGAAGCCAGCGGTGGCAGACGGGGGGATGACTTGACTCGTCGGCTTCGAGCGACTGAGAGCACTGTTGCCGTCCGTGTCGATGCGCACGAGGATGTTTCGAGAGGTGTTGTTGGAGACGAAGAAGGATTTGGAGACGTCGGCCTGGATGCAGATCGATCCGAAGTCCATGCTGGGAGGGAAGGTGCTGATACACAAGATGTCCTGGGGTTGCAGGTGCACTTGACAGTCTAGTTTCTCCTGCTTGCTGGACGGTGCTGACTTGAATTTCTTGGAGATCAGCCTATCCTCGTTCAACGCGAGGGTCCTGGGCTTGAGGAGGGTTCCCTTGAGGGTGGAGCTCTTGAGATAGAGCGCCTCCTCCTCCTTGGGCATCTTCAGCTGCGGCTCTTGTAGCGTCAGGTGCGAAGGGATCCCGGCCATGGGGAGGCCGAACATGCCCATGTCCTTGGAGGGCTTCTGATAGTCAGGGTCGGTGAGGTCGGGGGAGGCGTCTTGGTTGCCGAGAGCGAACTGGAAGCTCTCAGGGAAGGTTTCGACCTTCATTCGCTTCGAGTGAGCGTTGCTGAGGAAGTCAGCGTACTTGACTCGGTTCTTCCAGATCTTCTCGAAGGTCTCGGCGTCGTGAGTTAGGTGCGCGGTCCTCTCGTTGTATTCCGGCGGGTGCTGCTGCCAGAAGAGCTGCCGGCTGAACTTCTTCTTGCTCGCTTTCACCTTGTGCGCGTCGTCGGGGTGCTGGAAGTGGAACTTGGGAGCGAAGTCGACGTCGGTCGCGAGAGGCCCTCCCACCATGTCCCTCTTGCTCCCGACTTGATCGCACCGCCCAACCACCCGCAGCTCTGCCGTCTCGACGACCTGCTTCGACGTTCCCTTGAACGAGATCACGAACGCGCCTCGATGTCGACCGAGCTGGTTTGGCGAGAAGGAGAGCACGAGCTCCATGGACTGCATAGGCAGGAGGGTCCCAGCAGAGGGCCGGCACTTGAAGTGCGGGATCCTCGGGATGCTGAAGAGGACGGGCATCTCGTCGTGCTCGTTCTTGATGGTGGCCGTCAGCTCGCGGTTCCCGTGTGTGGGGGTGTCGAGGAAGCAGAGGTCGTTGTGCGACAGAGACACGGAGGGCTGGAACGAGCGGCCCAGCACCCTCAGGCTCGAGTTGAGCAGGTCCCCTGACCCCTTGCCTTGCAACGTCACGATGGCCTCGTACTCCTCCCTGTGCGACAGGGAGAGAAGCTGAGTCTTGAAGCCCTTGTGGTACGTGACCAGGGGCGGGCAGAAGGTGACGGTCACGAGCCGCTGCTCCCTCGCCTGCATGAGCATCTGGTTGGGGGTGATGACCCAGCCTTGCGCCTTGTCCTCAGTGTCAGCCGAGATGCTCACCCGCACCTCCGACTCGGTGGGCCCGTCGTTGAGGACGAGGACCTCGAAGTCTCGTCGCTCACCGCAGTACAAGGAGCCGAACTGAAGGAAGTCCACCTTGCCGGTCCCGTCCTGCGACAAGATCTCGATGCTGTGCTTGGTGACGAGTGCGTTGATGTCGAGGATCTGCCCCCGCGGTTGACCGTCCACGTTGAGTCGGAGGATGTTCCTCAGCAGCGCCACGTCGTTGGCTTTCAGCGAGACTTTCAGGCGCAGGCAGCAGTCTTCCGTCCCTGCGGGTCCCAGGCGGCCAACCATTGGCTCTATGGCGAAGCTGCGGGAGGGGGTGAGGAGAGAGGAGGAGAGGAGGAGGAGAGGAGGAGAGGAGGAGGGGAGGAGGAGAGGAGGAGAGGAGGAGAGGAGGAGAGGAGGAGAGGAAGAGAAGGAGAGGAGGAGAGGAAGAGAAGGAGAGGAGGCGTACCTGAGGTCCGAGTCGGCTACGAACTCGAAGTCTGCAGCCTTGGATCCATGGTTGATGATGTCAACGTACCGGATGTTGTGGGAGCCCGGGGACACTGACTCAACGTCATCCGCGCGAGGGAGCGAGCACGCCTCACCTGAGCCGAAGTTGCAGTACTGCTCGAAGCGAATGTCAGCTGCTGCCTTCCTGGCGTAGACGGGGACGCGAATGCAGTCTGAGTCGCAGAGGACTTGGATCTCGTCCTTGAAGTCTTGGTCCAGCGGCGACAGGTACTCGACGTCAACGCTGATCTCCAGCCCAGGGGCGATGGGGACCTGATGGAGCAGTCAGAGGCAGAGGGGGAGGGGAAGGAGGACAGACGGTAGGGATATGATGCAACTTGAACTCTTTCAATTTGGGTTGGACCAGGCGGACTCGCTTGACATGATCGCTCTTGTTCATGATCGTCATGGTGAGAATGTGCGGCACGTTCGGGCTCGTGTCCTTGAACTCGACCTCCTGCAGTCCACGTGAGGAGATGGAGAGGAGACGTCGCAGGTCACCGCAGGATACACCCGAAGAGCGTCCCCGCTGATACTCATCTCCCTGTTCACTGTGAGAGTCTGAGAGGCCCGCAGGTCCCGCATGGCAGCGCGAGGACGGACGCTACTGCCAACGCTGGCGTTGGTGAGGTCCCGCGGGTCGGGATACGGCATGTCGACAGCTGCGCTGAGGTGAAACGTCAGCTCACAAGAAATATTGATGAAGCGCCAAGACTGTTAGATCAAACACAAGGAGCAAACGTTTGCCCTACCATTCCTCCATCTCTCTACAGCCAATCGTTCGCTCTCGCTCTCCCTCTTGCTCTCTCTCTCTCTCCCTCCCTCTCTCTCTCTCCCTCTCTCCCTCTCCCTCTCTCTCTCTCTCTCTCTCTCTCTCCTCCTCCTCCTCCTCCTCCTCCTCTCTCCTCCTCCTCCTCTCTCTCTCTCTCTCTCTCTCTCTCCCTCTCTCCCCATTCCTACTCAACGCTCTCTCATGATTCAACGGCCCTACAGCCCCTCATCCCCGCTCAATACGGTTAATGAGCAGGTTGCTCTGCAGGTTCCGCTCAGCCGCTAGCCTCAGTGAGTCGCTCAGGCTGAGCACCGAGCCGGGTTATTGAGGAGGGCCCGCCGTTCGGTCCCGGCTGGGCCCTTGGAAGTTCCACCTGGTCAAGGTCGGCCCCGTTGCCCTCAGTGGCACGAGGGCCCGGCCTCCAGACACTCAGCAAGTTGGGCAGGGCCCAGCCTCACCACTATGGTAGGCACCGGATAGAATGACATACCATCAGTACTGCCGGGCCCAACCGCGGCGGCGGCCGCACAACCGTCGCGGACGGGGAGGGCTCAGGCTCTCAGTGAGTGACGGACAAGTGACGGTCTGCCCCGGCCCGCCGGGCGGGGACATTCACATCGTTCCTTTAAGAGTCTGCCTCAGATGCCCTTACCCCGACCAACAAAATGGGGGAGGCCGACCAGAAACATGCAGAAGCGAGAAGAGATGAGATGAGATGAGATGAGATGAGATGAGATGAGATGAGATGAGATGAGATGAGAAGAGATGAGATGAGATGAGATGAGAAGAGATGAGATGAGATGAGATGAGATGAGATGAGATGAGATGAGATGAGAAGAGATGAGATGAGAAGGAAGAGATGAGATGAGATGAGATGAGATGAGAAGAGATGAGATGAGATGAGATGAGATGAGAGGAGAGGAGAGGAGAGGAGAGGAGAGGAGAGGAGAGGAGAGGAGAGGAGAGGAGAGGGGACGGGACGGGACGGGACGGGACGGGACGGGACGGGACGGGACGGGACGGGACGAGAAGAGACGAGACGAGACGAGACGAGACGAGACGAGACGAGACGAGAACAGATGAGAAGAGAAGAGGGAAGGATGAAAGAAGAGGAGAAAGAAGAAGAATGACAACACTAGCGCCCCTGATGCAATAAGGGTCAGGAGAATTAGCGGTGAATGGGAAGAGCAAATATTATGAGATCAGCAGCGCAGAGAGGGATAAGGCATCTAGAGACTATCTTGGAGGAATCATCCACAAACACGCACACGAGGTCAAAGAGAGAAGAAAGGAAGCAAGAGCGTTGGAGGAAGTGCTTTATCGGGATCAATTAGTATGAAATCGAACGATTGTACGTTGTTGCCTCTTGGTTTGAACTTACAGGTTATGACAGGCAGGAGAACGCTTTGGACCATGAGCTACAAGTAGAGTGACCTGAAAAAGGGGAGAAAATTCTCAACCTCTACGATGAAACTTTCTGTGCTTGTTCTGCTATCGCTCCAACTGTCTCACGCCTTCAACTTGCCATATGGAAACCTCCGAAGCAGCATCTTCGATCGTCGGCCCGACAACCTGGCTCGTCTCGGGTCTCGTATCTCCTCTAGATGCTCCGAGAGCGCGAGGCCCTGCCGCCCTCTGAGCATGCAGACAACGCAGGAGAAGGCGAGTAAAGCTATCAACCCGATCTTCGGGGATACAGGAGGAGCAATTCTAGCCGTGGAGAAGCTCTCGCTCAGTGCCGGGCCTCGTGACATATTGCTCGACGCTTCCTTCAAGGCCATGCAGGGCGATCGCATCGGAGTGGTGGGAGCCAACGGAGCCGGGAAGAGCACGCTCCTCTCGGCTATCGTGCGGACGAGAGCGTGGGACAGCGGGGAAGCGGTGATCAAGCCCGAGACAACGGTGGGGTACCTGATCCAGACGGCAGTCAGCGGGAGCAAGAGATCGGCATGGGACGAGGCGTCTTCGGGGATGAACAAGATCATGGCGGCTGAGGAGCGACTGCTCAAGGCGCAGGAGGCTGTGGAGCGGGAGGCGATGTCGGAGCGAGCGGCCAACGAGCTTGCGTCGGCGCAGGCAGAGTTCGAGGCTGTGGGAGGAAGCAGCAAGGATCAGAAGGTCGCGCGCGTGCTCAACGGGCTGGGGTTTCAGCGGGAGGACCACAACAAGTCCTGCACCGAGTTCAGCGGGGGATGGCAGATGCGCATCGCGCTAGCTCGCCTCCTCCTGAGCGAGCCCGACCTCCTGCTCCTCGACGAGCCCACCAACCACCTGGACATGAGCGCGAAGCAGTGGCTCGTGAGCTACCTCAAGGAGTACAAGGGGACCATCATGGTGGTGACGCACGAGACCAGCCTGCTCGACGGCATCGCATGCAACACGATCCTGGAGGTCCGCGACAAGAGGCTCCACGTGTTCAAGTGCAGCCACTCCAAGTTCCTGCTCGAGCGGCAGGCCAGGGTCGACGCTGCTGCCAAGGCGTACGAGGCGCAGCAGAGGGAGATCGAGAAGCTGCAGAGCTACATCGACAGGTTCGGGGCCAAGGCCTCCAAGGCCTCGTCGGCGCAGTCGAGGAAGAAGCAGCTGGAGAAGATGGAGGTCATCGATGCGCCGGAGAGCCTCCAGACAGGACGGCGACCCAAGCTCGTCCTGCCCGAGCCTCCCAAGTGCAGGATGGAGATGGTGGTGATGAAGGATGCGGAGATCGGCTGGAGCGAGGAGAAGCCTCTCTACCGGGACCTCTCGCTTTCCATCACCCGAGGCATGCGAGTCGTCATCCTCGGCCCCAACGGATGCGGAAAGA